TAGCAGGGAAATGAGGAGCCCCCTTCCCTACACAGCCTGGGCCATCAATGGGACCCCACTTGGGGACCCCCAAGTGTACTTTTGTTACACACTCCATCATGGGCTCCTTGTCTGCCAGGCCCTCACCAGCTCCTCCTGCATGTCTATCCACACACACAGGGACAGGTGCACACTGGGACATACATACAGGGGCATGCAAGCAGGAACACATGCATGGACATACATTCAGGGACACACAGGCTGCCAGACACCCTCTGGAAGCTCTGTGTCTCTGACCTCATGCCCCTCCTCCCTGTTCAACTTGACAGCAGAGCTGCCTCCATCCATGGTCTTCCCATCTGGCTCCACTGGGACCTCTCACTTGCAACTCTGACCCCCAGCCCCACGCCAGCTGCCTTGCCTTCCTACAGCTCAGGGTGGGGTTGGGGGCAGGTCAGTGTGGCTTCTGGATGGCTCCCCTCACCCCCTGACTCCCAACCCTCTGCCTAAACAAATCCTCCCAGCTGGTATGTGTGTGCGGTGGTGGGGGGGGGGGTGCCAAGGATTAAGGACCAGCAAGAGGCAGAATAGGGCTAAAAGGCCCTGAAGAGTGCTCCTCCCTTGCACCAGGGTCTGGGGTTGGGGGTAAGAGGAGACAGCTCCCTACCTCCATTATGCTGGGCTTCAGAGTCAGCTGGAAACCCAGTTGGCCCTCCAGAAGTCTGGTAGGATGCTTGACGGCAAGAACAGTCAGCCTGCCCTCTCCTACCTTCCCAAGGGCCCCAAGTCCAGACAGTGAGATGCAGACAGAGCAAGAGGCCACCCCCCACCAAGGGCCCAGCCCTAGACATGGAGGGGACAGGCTGACAGACACAGGTCAGGTGTAAAGAGGCAGACACACAAAGGCAGACCCAGACAGCCAGAGACAGGAACACACACAGAGCAGGAGACCCAGACAAATACTGGCCCATGAGGGGCAGTCAGACCCAGACAGACACCAAGGGCAAGGGCAGAAGCCTGCACGGACCACTGCAGACAAAAGCAGTCAGACCCAGGATAGGCCCCAGGCAACCCCCCCCCCCCCCCCATAGGACGGGTAGGGGCTGTGGGTTTCCTCCCACCGCTTCCTTTAGCTGGAAACCTCGCCTTCTTATCCCAGCCTTGAACCTCCAGACCAGGCGCCCTCTGATGGTCCTTCCCTTGTCTTGAGGTCAACCCTTCTAGGGACTTCTCTCCTTGGTAGGTCAAGGTCAGAGCCCTCAAGGAAGCAAACCAGAGAGGAGGTACAGAAGGAAAAGGGTGTCTTGAGGAGTCTCGCACCAGTGTGGCCAGAACCTCATGCCTGATGACCCCACATTCTAGCTCCATAGTTATCACAAACAAAGCTTTTGAGGAACCTGGGTGAGTTCTGTTCCAAACTCTCAGAGCCTCACTATCCTCATCGATAAAATGGGTATCCTAATAATAGGGTGATGTATGTAAAGCGTTATTATTATAACCCTGCCCTCCCAAACCACCCTTCTTCCCAAGAGTTCTAGGCATTCTGCTCTTTAGGACTTTGATCTCCAAGGCAGGAGACCCCACAGGCTCCCTTGGAAGGACCTAGATATCCTGAGCCTGGCAAAGGGGAGCCCTCACCCCATCGCCTGAATGGGGCCCTGTTGGCTGGGTTGATGGATGGTGGGGGAGCACTCCCTACCCTGAACTCCAGACAGGTGTGGGAACGTGACTGGACCCCTGCCCAGGGGCAAGAGGGTGGCCTCTGGGAAAGGGGCTTCATGAGGTAAGGGAATTTCACGGGGGGCGAGTGTTTCGGGGGTCTGGCTCCACGGGGTTCCGATTTGGGGACAGGTCCTGTCGCGGCAGACCTTATGGGGGTTGGGCTTCAAGGGAGTGGCCCTGAGGACTCCGTAGGGACGCGGTCTGCAGGGGTCTAGGCAGGCCGGCTTTAGAGGCGGGTCCTGAGGGGCGGGGCTCGGGGCGGCCGGCGCTCCTAAGGCCAGCAGGGTGCGGCGAAGGGGGTGGGTTCTGAGGGGGGGGGTCTGGGGGCAGGCCTTAGGAGAACTGGGCTTTTTGAAGATGGGCTTAGAGGGCGGTTTTGTGAAGGGTGAGTTTGGGGGCGGGCTCCATGGGGGTCTATACGGGCGAGCTTTAGGGGACGGGTCCTCAGAACCGGCCACCGGTGGGTGGGCGTTCAGGGGCAGGTTTCAGGGAGGGGCCTGGGTCGGTGGCTTCCGAGGGGCGGGTCTCGGGTCAGGCTCTGGGTGGGGATCTCGCGGACCAGGCTTGGAGAGTTGTGCAGGCTCAGTCTGCCTCCGCCAGGGGGCGTTTTGGGGTTCACTTAAGCTCAGCACACTTGGGATCCCTGATCCACCTTAGGGTTACTCCAGGGGGGGTGCTTTAGGGCTCAGCATTCCCCAACCTCAGCAACCCCCGGGGGTCCCCAGACCCAGGTGGGGGCGGCCTTTCCTGAGACTGCGTGCGGGGGGACCCCGGAGGACGGGCGCCCAAATCTGCGGGTCCCTGGAGGGAAAGACTGCGGACCCCGTTTTACAGATGAGGGAATAGGGAGGGGCAGCATCTTGGCGTAGTCGGAGTTCGAGCAGGGATTTGACTGACGTCTATTTTGAAGCCCGAGGGTGAGCGACCCTGTACCCCCACATCAAGACGCAGCCCCTGCGTCGCTGCGTGCATGGGCACTAACCTCAAAAGGACCTGAATTCAATGTCGAGACCCTCCAGGCGGCCAGTGGGTGTCCCCTCTAGTCCTCTGGCTTCTCCCCGGTCCTGTGGGCAGGTGGACGGGGGGGGGGGGGGGGGGGGCTGGCAGTGGCCCCACTGCTGGCCCCGCATTTGCAAAGGGGAACAACCCCCCGGGGTTGTTGTGATTCATAAACAATAGTGCCCGGAACGCCCGAGACTCACAGAAGGTATTACATTGTATTAAAATGACTTGTTTATCTCTTTGTTGCATCCATGTCCCGGGGGCAACAAGCGCCAGGCAGCCAGACGTCTTGGGGCCACTAGGAATCCCTCCTTTGCCTCTCACTAGCGGTGCCCTTTGGCCTCAGACTCCCAAACTGACAAATAGGAGTAATCTGCACCTTCTAGGGACGTTTTGAAGGTGATTTGAGTAAATGCGTCAAGAAGCAAGCCCAGCGCCCAGTACTGCTATGTCTGTGTAGCAAAGGCTACACATAAATATCTAGTTATTATTATTTATATTTATCTTGTGCTTTTTCCAGGTCCTGGAGCAGACAGGTCCTGCTTGCTGACTTACTGAGTCAATAGGTCCCTCCCTCCCTCCTCTCTCCTTACCCACCTTATTGGGGTTTTCTGTCCCCCGCTCCTCCAGTCTTGGCCCCCTGGAGAAGTTGCCAAGGGTTTGGGGGAACATTCAACCTGTCGGTGAGTTTGGGCAGCTCAGGCAAACCATCGACCGTTGAGTGGACCCCGAGGCCTGGAACTGCCATCCACCTATCATGACCCTACCTTCCAGATCTGGGGGGCCAGGGTAGCTCTTAGAGCCAATCTGAGCAGCTCTCCTTTAGGCCACAGCGAAGGTCACAATCAACATTCATTGTTGTCGGTGGGTTGTGAGGACGGAGGCCAGACCCACCGAGGGATGAATGTCACTGTGGCTGGGCCGGACACAGCCTGAGGGGAATGGGCTAGGGGACAAGACCCACTCATACAATGCCCTGACCTCAGCCTCTCACCCCTTGGAGAGAGCTGGCATCTGGGATCCTGATATCAGGCCTGACTTGGGGACTAAATCCTTGGGGGGGGGGGTGGGGGGAGTTTGGGGGGCAGATCACAGGCTCAGGGCTGGGCACCTGGAAAATCTTTCTGAGGGGTTGGTAAGCCCCGTTCCCAGAGGGTTCAATAAAGGTTTCTTGAATGAGTGAATGAACGAATGAATGAATGGGGCAGGCAGGCAGCATAACCCCTCTTCTCCATGTCCAACTCCGGGGCCCAGCTTTCTCCCTCTCCTTGCCCAGCACCCACAGACCCCTACTTTACCCTCGATTGCCCGCCCACTTAGCACCCTGGTGCCCGCTCATCCTTCCATCTGCCAGTCTCTGCCCCACCTGGTAACTCCTGGAGGTCTTATTTGAGGGGGTGAGGATTGAGGCACTGGCGAGTGCTGGGGGTCCCCCCATTAGCCCACCTGTGTCTCTGCTCCCCTCCATGTTTTGTCTCACCTCCTGTCCACCCTAGGGCCAGCACCTAACCTTGGGGACTACAGTAACTGGATGGGGGAGGCAGGCTTTTGTGTTTGTGTTTGTGAGTAAGTATGGGCAGGTGGCCTTATACCTCAGTGAGTTCATCCATTAAATGGGGGTTCCACTGAGATAATGGGTGTGAAAGTTCCCTGAGGGAGACCTGAGCTAGGGGCCTTAATCCTTGTCCCTCCCCCTCCCATGAGCCAGGCACCATCCCCCTTCCAGAGATAACTGGAGCATCAGTAGCTCCCCCCTTCCGCAAAGAGCCCAGGGGCACCTGGCTCCTCCCCCCCAGCCCAAGGGAAGGAAGACAGAAGTTACTAAGTTACTGACTACATCAATGCCTGTCTTTGGGGTGGGGCTTCCACACCCCCCCCCCCATCACCCTGTGGGGCAGGAGTGGCAGGCCTCACAGGCCTCCTCCAAGGAGGGGTAGGCAGGGGTAGCCCTCCCAGTGCCCTCTGGGGGGGTGTCTCCCAATTGTGGTGGGGGCCCCCTGCAGCCTGTGTCCTGTCACCCCCCATTGCCCCCCGCCCACCCAGAGACCATGCATCCCCTGGCAGGTGCATTTATGGGGGAGCAGCAGCAAGACCCCCTGTGACAGTAAGGAACCTCCCACAGCCTGCTCCTCCCCCTTCACACCCCCTTGGAGGTATAAGGAGGGAACTGACAGCCCAGACTCCTAGGCTCCAGAGAGGGGAAGGGAGGGGCAGAGAGGAAGGGGTAGAAAGACGAGCTTTGGGCACGCAGGGTTTATTCTCTCTCTGCCCCTCTGCCTGGCACACATTGCCCAGCTATGGGAACCTTCGACCTATGGACAGATTATCTGGGTTTGGCACGCCTGGTGGGGGCTCTGCGCGGGGAAGAGGAGCCCGAAACCAGGCTGGACCCCCAGCCACAGCCAGCTCCAGGACCAGGGGCTCAGAGGCCCAGCCCGGAATCACCAGCTCCTGAACGCCTGTGCTCTTTCTGCAAACACAACGGCGAGTCCCGGGCCATCTACCAGTCCCACGTGCTCAAGGATGAGGCGGGCCGAGTGCTGTGTCCCATCCTGCGTGACTACGTGTGCCCCCAGTGCGGTGCCACGCGCGACCGTGCCCACACACGCCGTTTCTGCCCGCTCACGGGCCAGGGCTACACCTCTGTCTACAGCTACACCACCCGCAACTCAGCTGGCAAGAAGGTGTCCCGGCCTGACAAGGCAAGGACGCAGGACTCAGGGCATCGCCGAGCAGGAGCAGCCTGTGCAGGTGGCTGGGGGGACCCGGTGTGGAGGGGGCCGACCCTGGGCTTGTGGCTAAGCCCTCGGGGCCTCTGTGAAGTAGGATTAACCCCAGTGCCCACTTTAGAGGGTTGGGGGGAAATAATCAGTGTAGAAAACTTAGAACAATATTCTAGAAGTGTTGCCCAGTGTGAATAAGCTGGGGCTGGGATTAATCTGTGGCCTTGCGCAGGGGACCTCTCTGGGCCCACGGGAAGTTGCTCTCCTTCTCCAGGCATGGGGTGCTCTGTCAGGGAGGCTATGGGGACTTGTGACAGGATCTGCAGTTAGGTGTAGCAGGGGCTCCAAATCCTGTTTGGCACTTGGGAGCTGTGCAGCCTGAGAGAAGTTCTCAGCCTCACTGAACCCCAGCTTCCTCGTGCTCCTCCTTTGTTCACTCATTTGCCAAATAGCTTGTGTGCCTTTTGTGCTAAGTGCTGGGCTGTACCAGCAGTGGAAAAAGGTAGAAGGGAGAACGGCATTTAAAACAGTGTGCTGAGTACTGAATGGAGGAGTCTAGAGGAAGCACCTGATCCAGATGAAGGGGTCCAGGAGGGCTTCCTGGAGGAAGTGACTTCTCGAAGTCTAATTTGGTTTGATGGATGCTAGAAGTGTAGCCCAGGCACTGGGGCTCGTTCAGGAACTTAGTGTAAGTTCAGTGGATCTGGAACAAAATGGGTGCATGTCTGGTAGAGAGGGAGGTGTCAGAGATTTGGGGGCCAGCGGAAGAGCCTATAGGTCTTGGGCTTGGGTACTAGGGAACCACGGAAGGGGCAAGACCAGGTCTGCATGTTTGAGTGTGTTAGACCTCAGCTGACTGGTTGGATCGTGAGGACACTAGTCCTCCAGGCAGAAGTGTCCATGGCAGCAAGGAGGGAGAGGGGCCTGGCACCGAGGGAAATGTATGTTTGGAGAGGAACATCGGGAGTTTGCTGTGTGTGGATCAGCTCAGGAGGGCAGCTGGGGTGAAAGCTTATGAAATCTTTAGCTGAAGCCTCCCTGAGGTCTGGCTCTCCCCACTCTGCTTGGCCCACCATGTGGGGTCACCCTGTCTCATCAAATGTGGATTCCAATTCTGCAGGTCTTCTGCAAGTCTGGGTGGGGCCCCAGGACCTGCTCCCAGCCGTGTGGGAAGGCCAGGGAGCAGGGAGGCTGCAGGCTTTGGGTAGCTTGAGCGTACGTGGCAGTGGTTGTTATTATAGACGTGAAAGGCCTCAGCTCCTGTGGGGTTTTAAAGCAGAAATTGTTTTAGCAACTTTGTCTTTGCAGAAGTCAGCTGACAGGGAGGTGGGCCTGACTGGGCCATACTGCTGCCCTTTTGGGTGCCCTGTGTGGGTACAGCCTCCCCATCAGGGTGTGAGCTCCTTGAGGGAGGTGACTGGGCGGGACGACCCCACCCTCACCCCCGGCAGCTCTGCAGGGAACATTTGATCGAAGAATTGAGTAGATACTATTCCCCCAAGAGATTCAATGAGATCCACCTGGGAGGTGGGGGGAGCTGAGGGGACATAGAGATGATGGTCTCAGAACCTTCTTTTTTCTCTTAAGTTGGAGGGAACAGGGAAGTTCCCTTCCCCAGGCATGGAGGGTGGGGTGGAGCCCCCCTTACCACCAGACTGGTAGAAAGGCCAGCCTCCTGTAATGTTCTGGGTGTAACAAATCTGGGGTCCCCGGAGCCCTGCGGCCACAAGGGGGCAGCACAGTCAGCCAGAATTAAGAGTTTCTGTGCTTTGTGTCCAGCTCTGGGTCCCACCCTGGGCGGGCCAGGCCTGGAGTGTCACAGGGGTGCTATCCTAGGAGCAGCCCCCAGGTGGTGCTAGAGCCCCAAAGCCCTGAAGTTTGAACCTGTACTTTGGGAGCATTGAATCATAACCTATTATTGTTTTTCTCCTTTTAAAATCCAGGTTCCAAAGGTGCTGGGAAGTCTTCTGGACCTTCACCCTCTTCCTGCTGCCCCTCCACTTCTGCCTAGGAGACTGGTGCAGGGAGGATGGAGATGCTGCCTTCCCCTGGGTGTGGGGACCCAGGCTCGATGGAGGATGTATTTTCTGAGAAGATCCACCTTGCAGGGACCTGTCCCTCGGCCCTTGCCCCAGCCTGGAGGCCTGGTAAGAGAGCAGGGCCTGAGAGCACAGCTGAAAGAGCCCCCATGAGGAAGGAGGTGGCCCTCAGGCACCCTGGCCCTCCTTCCCCAGCACTGGGCACCCAGTCAGCACTCAATAAATGCTTACGAATGGATCAGCGTAATAGCCCAGGTCTTGGGATGAGGTAGCGTGAACAGCTCCAGAGGGGCTGGGGCACCTCTTTTCTATCCTGACTGCATCCATGAGCCCCCACATGTCCCCACCTGTTACTTGGATTCTGGTTGATCCTGGAGCATTGGGTGAGCTGCTTTATGCTGAGAAATGGAAGTGGGCACCACAGGGTGACTGTGGGGTTTTGAGGGGTCACCCCAGCACTTCTGAGCATGGCACTCGCTGCTAGGTTAGCGCCATGAAGCCATTTCTATGATGTTTGGAATTTTCAAACTCCCTTCCAGCCATCCCTCACACAATGACATGCCAAATGGGTAGAATTCTACACATTGGAGGCGGGGGCCTGATCTGAGAGGTGAACTGAAAGACAATTAGACCAAGCCCTCCCTCCTCCTTCAAATCATCCTGACCAAGGAGGCCCTCAGTGAATGTTAAGGTCCTCACAGATGCCTCAGCAACGGGGCCATGGAGTCACACGCCAGACTCCTCAGAAGGGAAGGACTTGGGGGCGCAGGTGCAGGGCTAGGCAAAGAATGGGAATATGTCTTGGGGGGGTGGGCCAGCCAAGACCTTGGTCAGGAGGCACCACGGAGGTGATTTGGCTCTGCCTGGGGAGAAATGGGAGAGGGATGGAGACCCATCACCACCCAGGTAGTGTGACCCAGTTCTCCTGTGCCAGGGCGGTGTTTGTGGGAATCTCTACTCCCAGTCTGCTCCTCTGGCCTCCAGAGGGCAGCAGGTGGCAAGTGTCCGTTCAAATTCTTCCCCCAAGCCAAGGGCTGGCCTGGGAACCTGGGCTCCATCCCTAATAGCCCACACTGTCTCCCAGAGTTGGGTGGGAGCAGGATTTGGACTTTGCAGGTCCCCTCTGCCCTTGGCTTTGGACTTGAACTCCAAAGGACGTGAGGCCACCGAAGGAGGAGGGCTGGGGTGAGCTGGGGTGAGCTGGGGATGGGAGACAACCCTTGAAGACAGCCTGCTGCCCAGGCTTGGAGCGGGGAGGGGAGGAGGAGAAAGAAGACACAGAGGAGGGCTCCTTAGCAGCCCTAAGAGTTTCAAATTGAGTTAGGGGACACCACATCCCAGTTACCCCCAGCTGTTTGCAAGTGCTGATTGTATAGACCAGAGCTGCTGGGGCTTGAGACCCACGGAACCAGGAGAATGGACATGTCCTGGCAGGTTCAAGGGAGGAGCTGCACATCCAGCCAGAAGTGGTGGGGGACCTTGACCCTCCCCACTTCCCTCCAGCATGGGGCTTCCCAGGGTCTAAGAAGGCAGGGGGAGGGGAGACCTGCCTTGACTGTAGGAATCAGGGTGTGGGAGTCACTGGCCAAAGGACTGATAAAGTCTCGGGTCTGGTCAACCTTTTGGTCACCAATTTAGAAGCACGGTGTTCTATAAAATGGGTTTGGCGGCAGCACCTGCTTAGGACAACATCATCAGGGTGTGTAAGGCTTGGCACTAGCTGTGTCTGTATCAGTAACAATCCGCCAGGACTGCCTCCTTCCAGTCTGGGGCCTAGAAGCAGGTTGTGCCTCGGAGGATGGGTAAGGCCATCTGAGCACTGAAAGCAAACCTGCTGACTCTCCAGTTGGGTGATCAGCTACGATGTCTCAGTGGGCTTGCTGCTCCACGATGTGGGGGTGTCTGTGCTTGAATGTGTACACACACGTGCACACACACAGCCACCCATTCCTGGAGACTCTGACACATTCAGTAACTTGTGGGGAGCCCTTGATTCACAGGGCCCTGCAGTAGCCCAACCTGCCCTCCCGGGGAGGATGAGAAATAAAAGGAGAAAGGTGGTTAGGGAGGTTGGTGGGCGGAACATTAAGGAACTGAAAATACCTCAAACCCCAAATAGCAGGTCACAGATCCACACTAGGGAAACATTTATTAATGGTCTAACCAGAAGAAATAAAATGGAAATCCGGAGAAAAACAAAGGTACCACCAACAAAGGGAGCCCTTTTCTCCACCAGGAAAGAAACAAATTCTGAACCTCCCATAACCTGAGCTAAAGAACGAAATTTGCAGATCCAGATAAACATCTGGGTGGCTCTGGGCTCTGCTCAGAAGCAGCTGGCTTCCGGAGGGTGGGGGGCACGACCAGCCTCCTGCTGACTGCCTGTGGCCTCTGCTGTAACCCGGGGTGCGGGGGGAGAGCAAGTTCCATCCCTTACCGACTCCCAAGGGAGGCAGCTGACATGGGCCTGGCCTCTCGTTTCCCATGGGAAGCTGACTTCCGGGTCATCTGAGGGGAGGCTTCTGGGGCCCACTAGGACCTGCTGGAGCATCTTACAGGATAAACCAGGGGGCACACAGGGCCCTGCAGGCTTTCCGGGGTCTGCTGAGGGAATGTTCCCAGCTGTCTGGCGGCAGCACCTCTGGGGGCCAGCGCAGAGCAAACACGCACAGGCGCTGTGAGTTTGTGCATGTGCACGCACACAAGGTGCTCCTGAGGTGGTCTGGAAGTAATCTACAAATCCCTCCAGGATTGCTGCCCTGGAGGGAGATTCCCAGCCCCCTTTGATGTGTAGGGTGCCGGGGCTTTCCCTGCCAGCCTCGCCTTCCGGTAGCTGAGGCGCTTGAAGGCCTCCAGGTCCCGGTGGGCGCTCATGATCAGCCGGCTGCATGGAAGTTGCAACAGGAGCTGTGTGTGCTCCACCAGACGCCCAAGTGGGGACTACACCTCCCATTCGGGCACAAGCGCCTGCTCACACTCCCACATAAGCTCACGCACGTGAACACTCACGGGTCTTGGCCACACAGAGGCAGATGCAGGCCCCGGGCCCTCCCTGCCATCCCCCAAGGCCCCATCCCCCCTGCCACCCCTTCCGCCCCGTTCATCCATGGATCCTAGCCCAGCGCTTACTTCAGGTTGGAGAGCTCAACAACAAGACCGTGCACGGTGTCTGTTGCATCCTCCATCCTGGCGGCTTCACAGGCCTTGATCCCTACACAGGTCCTGGCGGGAAAGGAGGGAAGACAGGAGGTCTGACCTCACTGGACAGCTCTGCCAAACTCCGTTCTGGGGACTTTTGCTGGGCCTGGAGCTGTCTTCTCTAGATATTAATACCTTTTCCAGATATGAAGCCACCAGAGGCAGAGCGCTGATGGCCAACCCAGCTGGCTCTACCATCAAGAGCACATCCAAAGTCCAGCCTCTTCTCCCGACCACCTCGGTCCTTGTCTGGACAGTTGCCACAGCCTCCCTGGCCCCCTGTTCCGGCCCCTACAGCCTGTCCCCCATTCAGCACTGGGGTGGGGTGGGCTGTGAAAATAGAAACCCAGCCCAGCACCCCTCCCCAAAGCCCCTGCACCATCTGCCAGCACCTCCAGGCCCCTATCCCCCACCCCCCCTTCCCCTTCCTCCCCTGCTCCAGCCACATTGAATTCCTGGCTGTTCCCTGAGCACTTCTGAGGGCCCTGGAATGTTCTTTCCCCAAAGTCTCCTCCTGGTGGGGGGAGGGAGGCTTCCCTGATCGCCACGTTAAAATTTTAACCCCTTCCTCACTGTCTTTTTCTCAACACTCCACCATCTGACTAATTTGCTTGTCTCTCACCCTCCCACCCCCACCAGATGGAAGCTGTGTGTTTTGTCCCACACTGTCTCCCCCGTGCCCAGAGCAGTTCCTGGAAAAGCTGGCACTGGATGGCCTTAGTATCTATGGAAGGGGTAGATGCACCACAGCACCCACTGTACGTAATGCATGTGGCCTGTGCATGTGGGCAGAGGGCTGCCCTCCTGGACTCAGGCCAACAGCTGTTCCTAAATCCTCCTCCACCCCAGCGTGGCAGTGTCTCCTGGGCTATCACTACAGGGACTCCAGTTCTACTCCACCCGCTTCAGTCACCCTGAGATGGCAGGCCGGCCTGGCCTTAGCCTCTGCATGTCTCACTCAGCCATAGGCCACTGAACCAGACCCATGACCTGCCTGGGGGGCTTCCAGATGTCCATGTGGGTTACATCAGAGGCCACCGGAGATTCAGACATGAATCTCCCTTCTCTTTGCTTAAACAATAGTAGGGTCACTCTAGCTATAAACTGCCCCTGATCCCCACATGTGCGTGCGCGTGCACGCGTGTGTGTGTGGCAACAGGTGGTACAAATGTGTGCATGAGCAGGAGATGGAAACGTGGCCACCCTCTACGCTGAAGAGGAGGAGGAGAAAGAGAAAGGAGATACACTCTGCCAAGGGCTGTGTCCCTCACCCCTCCTCCACACCACTTGCCAGACAGAAACAGAAACTTGGCCATGAATAATCGATAAGCCGCAGCCTGTGCAGAGAGACCAGTTCAAGTACAAGGTAACAGGAGAGGACTGTCACCCAGCGCTAATGGCTGGCAGGGCTGGGAGGAAGGACACAAAGGGAGGTGATGGATGCGAGAAGCTCTGGGGTGGAGAGAGAGGACCCCCCAACACACACCCCCCCATACCACACACACACACACACACACACATACACACACACTCTCTCTCTCTCTCTCCATGGCCTGCAGGAGGGAGAGAAAGCAGCCTGCCTCAGGGCACTGAGCCAAGTGAGGAGATGGGGCGAGTCAGGAACAAGTCAGGACCTCTGGAGGGCCCTCTGGATGCCAGAGTGGGAGCGGGCCCAAGGCCACTGGTTTTTATCCCTGTTTGGGTCCCCTTCCCCTCCACAGAGATTCAGGGTAAGCTCTAGATCCTCTCTCTAGAAAAACACATCTAGTACATTAAAACAACCTATGGAACTGGGGGCTACTATCCCAGGGGCCCTGGGGAGAGACTCTGGTTTAGCTGTAGATCGAGGATCACCAGTTCTCCACTTGCGGGGAGCAGCGGCATGCACAATGTGAAAGACGGGGCTCGGCTCCCTTCCTGAGACCCATGGAGGGAGAGGCAGGGCTGAGGCTCGGCGGGAAGCCTGCTTGTCCCTCTCCCGCTCCCCCTGCTTGTGTTCCTGCTCTCGCTCGCTCTGTCAAATTAATAAATAAAATCTTAAAAAAAAAAAAATGTCAACGGTGGTTTAATGTTCATGGAAAATGTCAGCTCAATCACGGAGGGGACATACGTCCCTCTGAAAAGAGGCAAAGAGGCTGGGGTAGAGTGGTGCCAGTGCCAGGAAAGCAGCGACATTCTCCCCTCGCAGGGACTTAGGGACGACTGCTGCAAGGGCAAGAGTCCTGGGTTAGCCTCCCCCTTGCCTACCTCAGCTGGAGCTCCGTGAGAAGGCCTCCATCAGCATGTGGGCTTGTGCCAGGCCAACAAGAGTCCAGCCTGGTCCCCGCAGGAAACAACTATGAAGAGAGAACACACCTGTGAATGGCCTCGCTGGCTAAGCCCTGCACTGGGAAGGAAGAGGACATGCAAGGCACCTCTCAATTCTCCTGGGCTGTGTCAGGAACACAGAGGTAGAGACTCCCGCAGAAGAAAAGTGGTGCAGCGGAGAGACAGGATGCCCTGACAGCTAAACCTGGGGGCCACCAACCCGGGCTGCAATCACCCTCCCCATTCAGAAGGAGCAGACAGGGCAATAGGAGTCCTGACCCTGGTGTCCCCTGCTGAGTCTGTGCTTTCTGAAAGGCTGATCTGTGTTGGCCGATGGCTCTGTCCCTGACAGCTGAGGCGTGGCACTGTCTCCTGCTTGTCCTGCAGTATCTAGAAAGGTACAGAGAAGACCCTCAGTGATGCTGAGTGGAGCGAGGTGGGCACCTGGTGTTGAGGGGAAGAGGTTGGCCAGGTAAGCCACCTGTTTTGTGTCAGGGAAAGATTTTACAAATATATGGTCAGGGGAAAATTTATGATAGGGTAGAGAGCCAGATAACCCGGAGAAGCTTAAGTTTCTAAATGTCAACGGTGAGGGCGCCTGGGTGGCTCAGTCAGTTAAGCGTCTGCCTTCGGCTCAGGTCGTGATCTCAGGGTTCTGGGATCGAGCCCCACATCGGGCTCCCTGCTCGGCGGGAAGCCTGCTTGTCCCTCTCCCGCTCCCCCTGCTTGTGTTCCTGCTCTCGCTCTGTCAAATTAATAAAATCTTTAAAAAAAAAATGTCAACGGTGGTTTAATGTTCATGGAAAATGTCAAGCTCAATCATGGAGGGGACATACCTCCCTCTGAAAAGAGGCAAAGAGGCTGGGGTAGAGTGGCCAATCCACGGCCTCTCTGAGGAGACCAAAATCCTAGAGTAAGAAGGGATCTGTTCCAAAGGCGTCCTTTCAAAAGCAGGCCCCTCTCCCCTGACGGGCGGGGGATGGGATGAAGGGCTTGAGCTATAGCTTACACCTGCAAATTGTCCCTGAATCCCAAGAACAGACGCAAAGAACTGCTTGTAGCCCAACAGTTCTCACTGGGGGATGATCACCCCTAGGCACTTCACATTGGTCAGCACACTTTGGTGGGGGGAGTGCTACTGGCATCCAGTGGGTAGGGGCCAGGGGTGCTGCTCAGCACCCAAAATTGCACAGGACAGCCCCGCCCCAGAGAACTATCTGGACCCAAATGCCAGCAGTGCCTGCTGTGGACAACACAGTACCTCCCAGGCATCTGGCCTACTGTTTCACGTAAGTGACTCTGATTTAAAATACAATTCACCCAACTCACCGGGCCATTCTTGGCCCTGAGGAATATTCCCCCTCCTAACATTCCAATCACTGCTCCCACCAGGGCTGTGTAAATGTTTGACACAAGGGCAGTCCTTGTACTGAATGTGCTGGAAGCCATCACTGTACGACCCAAGAGGGACTTGTAATCAGCTTTTATTTTTTTAAGGATTTTATTTACTGGGGCGCCTGGGTGGCTCAGTCAGTTAAGCATCTGCCTTCGGCTCAGGTCATCATCCCAGGATCCTGGGATCGAGCCCCGCATCAGGCTCCCTGCTCAGCAGGGAGTCTGCTTCTCCCTCTCCCTCTGCCCTTCCACCCTGCTCATGCTCTCTCTCGCTCTCAAATAAAAATCTTATTTTTATATTTATTTGAGAGAGAGCACAAGCACGGGGAGCAGCAGAGGGAGAGGGAGAAGCAGACTCCCCGCTGAGTACGGAGCCCAACACAGGGCTCCGTCCAGGACCACCTGACCAAGGGCAGATGCTTAACTGACTGAGCCACCCAGGCCCTGGAATCAGCTTTTAAATGACACTCGTTATGCAGTGTACAGAGGCTCCACCAGCCCTGTGGTGAGTGTCAGGTCCTAAGGGAGCTACTACAAGAAGAAAATACCATGCTTTCCTGGGAGGGGACCTGGGTTTGAAACTGGTCTATCACTTCTGTGTAACCTCTGTGAGGCCCCCAGTTGCCTCCTCTGAAGCAGTGCTCACATAAGCTGTCCCACTGCGGGGGAGGGGGGCCTGTTGGTGGGAGGCCGCTGCTGCCACTCTCCATCCACCTGCACTCTGTTCCCAAGTGTCCCTGTCCACCAGGTCTTCCTGCCGGGCTCCATCCGGTACCTTTCTGTGGGAACCTGCTTGTGCCGAGGTCGCCCTGACATGTTCGGGAACGCCCAGTATCAAAACAAAATGTGTCCAGACGTCAGCAACCTTGTCAGGGCAGCGCCTCCGCCCCTGGAGGACCTGTCAGGTCTGCCCACCCCAGCTGTCTGCCAGTTCCCTGCACTGCGGATTCTTTGTTGTTTTCAAAGCCCAAAGTCACTGGCAGCCCATCAGGAAGGGCTTGCTTCTTTGCCTGCTGGATGCCACTAAATATCCCAACCGCTTCCTTTAGCCACGGCCCAACAGGCAGAGACTGGGAGTAACTTAGACTCCTCTTCTTTCCAAGGGAGGGGTTTATATCGTTCACGGGCTGAGGCTCTAGTTACAAGATTTCAGCTGTGCCAGCACCTGCACCCCTACCTATCCCAGGTGCTTGTGTTCAAGCTCTAGGACTGGGCTGTACTGTGACTTACTTTCCATAATCTTGCTCATCTGGTGATCGAGAAATGGGTGGCACAGGAGCCGGGGGCCCACATGTGGCAGGGAGGGCCTGGTCTGAAGTCACCCTGCACATAAACACTGTGAAGGGCCAGAAATGACCCTCGGCCCTCCCTTGGGAAGGCGGCGCCTTGGAGACCCACATTTGCCCAACCCAGCTACATTCCCCTCTGTGGCTGCAGCAGCTGGCTTTCCTCAGCTGGGTACCAGATGAAACACTATGCTTGTGTTTCAGGGCCGGGTCGTATGAAAAGACTCTCTAAGTGCTGAAATGATAGGGTACAAAATGTTCACTCTGGGAGAGAGGTGGGAATGGTACTACCACAAACCTCACAGAGGCAGGGACCACACCCAATCTGTTGATTCCTGGCAGAGCAGGCTCTTGATAAGCATGTAACTGAATTAATGTTTTAAAGATCTCAACAGGACAGCCGAAGAAACAGAGCCCGATGTTTGTGAAGCAAGTTGGGCTCTGCGCTCCAGGTCAGGGCATCTGAGGCACAGGTGTGGAATCAGGCCAACCTGGGAGCAGACCTGGCCTGTCTCCCTCCCAGCTGTGTCACCTGGGGCAGGTGCCTGAACTCCTTCGGCCTCTTAACCACACCCAGGATGTGGAAAGAGAACCACCTACCTCTCAGAGTGTGACTGCAAAACACTTAACCCAGACTCAGGCGTGCCAGTGGTCAAGGATGTGGTGCTTCCCTGGGGGCGGGGCCAAAGCAAGTCTGCCACCTGCCCCCAGACAGGCCAATGGCCTGCACAGGCTTGGCAGCTGGGGAAGGTGATGTTGGGTAGCTCTCCCACAGCCTGCTGGGCAGGCAGATCCCTGAAGAAAGCAAAGTCCCTACAAATTCCAGCAGGAAAGCAAAATTGTGTCTATGTTTGAAAAAAAAAAATCGTATGAGGACCCTGAAATGACCCTTAAGATGGGCAAAGGCTCTCTCCAGTTGGGGACTGAAGTCCTCTCCCCCAAACCCAGCTTTGACGTGGCTGGCTTTTTCAAAGTGACCCCTCAAGGTCTCAGGCATCCTCTTTATATCCCTCAGAAACCTGCAGCTAGAGCCAGGCCCTGAAGTGTGGAGAGGGTGGGTAGAACTGGGGGCTCCAGTCAAGGAAGGGAGGACCTCCATCAACTCTGCCTAGGCTGACAGAATACATGAGTGTCACTGTCTGGGCCTCTTCAGCTCCCACACAGACAGACCCCTTACAGAAAGGCAGGTCTGTCCTTTCTGGAAAATCACTGACTCCATACCCACCAAAGCTGCAACTCATTCCTCTACACCCGTGTGCTATATAAACAGATGGCCATGCACCCCAAATTCCACACACCCCCTACCGGGTGGCTTGGGAGAGGCTCACACCACTTGACACCTATCCTGGGATGGTCTGCCATAACGTGGGGAAGCTCTTACCTGCACAGGTGAGGCTTCAAAGTCAGGGGCTTCCAGGGCATCCCGTATCTGGCTGTCTGGCAGGAAGTCAGGTTCCATGGCCGGGGACTCCCCCAGCACAGCCTGGTCTGCAGAGCCAGGAGGGGGCTCAGACCAGCCTGTGGGGTCTGCGGGGGCATCTATGCTGTCCTGGCAGGCCCTGGTCTCCTGGGAAGGGCCACCCACAGCTTCTCTGTGCACTGGTGGAGCAAGGGCTCCAAGAGACAGACTGAACCCCTCAAGGTCTTGTTCAGGGCTCTGGCGACCTAACTCAGTGGCTTTTTTACGTGTGGGCTGCAACAGCAAAGGCAGTGCACACACACCTCCGAGCCCCTCTGTCTGATCAACACCTGGGCCCATTTCCGAGGCTAGAAGACTGGAATCTCCAGCACCTATTGTGGGCTCTCTTATCCCGTGATCCAGAGCCAAGGAGACTGCAGGGCCCCCCAGGGTGTTGCCAGGGCGCTTGTCTTCCCACCCTGCCTCCCCTCTATGTCCTGTCTCCCCAGCGAGAGGTACGTAGCTGAGCAGGCTCCCACTGCAGCCTCCATCAGGGGCCTTCCCCCTGGGACAGGTAGGTGCTCTGGTACTGGCCTGTTCATCTGGCCTGGCCACCTCTGGAGCCCTCTGTTCTGGCTCGGTGGGGTCTGTGCTCACATCTGTGATGACAATGGTCTCAAGGGAGGAGTGTCTTGGGCTGCTACAACTCTGTTCTGCTTCCCTGCCAGTCTTGCTGGGTATCTGCATGGGGTCAGAGAGGCCCTGGGCTGCAGATCTGGGCTCTGGATCCTGAGTGATGGGACCTAGGACGCCGTCTCCTTCCTCCTGATGCCTTTCAGGCAGGTCAGCCCCTGCTCCCCCTTTGGCACCTGTTTCCTGAAGTGCTCCTTGGTCTGACTCCTCTTCAGCATCACTGCTCAGCAGGAGCCCTTTCTGGCCATGATAGCCTAGAACCCAACACCCTTCCTTGCTTTCACCATCTGTTGTCTTGGCTCCTTGCTCCGAAAGGTGGTCCTGGCTGGCCCTCTCGGAGGCCAAGGGCACTGTCCCCCATTCTGGAGAGGCATCGATGGAGGCTGAGGGCTGAGGATTCCCATTGCCAGGCACAGGTGTCATGGGGTTTTGGTCTCTGTGCTCAGGGTGGGTGTTGTCTACCTGGGTCTGGGCACCCAGCTCCCTGGCCTCCCAGGAAGCAAGCCCTAGGGACTCCTCCCACAGCTGGCTTCTGGCCTGCTGGGCACTGGGCTCTGGTGGTGTTTCCTGTGGAAAGAAAAAGACTCAGCCTTGAGCCTTCAATAATCAACCATTCTAAAGATTTTTGGGGGTGCCTGGGTGGCTCAGGCTTTAAGCATCTGCCTTCGGCTCGGGTCATGATCTCAGGGTCCTGGGATCGAGCCCCATATTGGGCTCCCTGCTTAGCGGGGAGTCTGCTTCTCCCTCTCCCACTCCCCCTGCTTGTGTTCCCTCTCTTGCTGTCTCGCTCTGTCAAATGAATAAATAAAATCTTTTAAAAAAATTTAAAAAATAAAGATTTTTTTAAGTAGGCCTCATCCCCAATGTAGGACTCAAACTTATGACCCTGAGCTCAAAAGTCAAACACTTAACCAACTGAGCCACTCAGGTGCCCCAGGATTTTTCTAGTTGTAATTGCCCCTGTACAAAGTCTCCGATGCTGCACATGATGCACCCAAATAGGGTTCAGTACCAGTGCTGGGCACAGTTACAGCCAGAGCTGGAGGGGGAACTGGAAACACAGGAACCCTCCTTCCATCAGCTCCTTTCCACCAGCATCAGGCACACGGAGGCTCTTGGACAGATCAAGGATACAAAAATGAAGGGGGCCTGTGGATTCTGCCCAGGTCAATTGTCTGATGCTAGCAATGGATGCTAGTTATAGAACATGTAACCACTGGAGGAAACCGGAGGAGAGCACACATGGACCTCTCTCAAGTGTTTTGTTTTTGTGGTAAAATACACATTACATAAAACTCGGCATCTTAACCATTTTGAAGCATACAGTTCAGTGGCATAAAGTACGTTTACATTGTCGTGCAAACATCACCACAATCCATCTCCAGAACTCTTTTCATCTTCCCAAACTGAAATTCTGTCCTTATCCCTCTCTTCCAGCATCTGGTATCTACCAACTACCTTCTCCCTGTACAACTTTTTTTTTTTTTGAGAGAGAGAGAGAATGTGTGTGTGCGTGTGCCATGGGGGGTGGGGGAGCAGAGGGAGAGAATCTTAAGCAGGCTCCAGCACGGAGCCCAATGTGGGGCTCGATCCCATGACCCTGAGATCATGACCTGAGCTGAAATCAAGAGTCGGAAGCTTAACTGACTGAGCCACCCAGAAGCCCCTGCCTCTACAGATTTGACTCCTCTAGGGACCTCCTATAAGTGGAATCCTATAGTATTTGTTTTTTGGTGGCTAGCTTACTTCACTGAGCATAATGTCCTCCAGGCTCATTTATGTTGTAGCAGGTGTCAGAATGTCTTTGCTTTTAGGGTACCTGGGTGGCTCAGTTGTTAAGTGTCTGCCTTCGTTTCAGGTCATGATCCCAGGGTCCTGGGATCGAGCCCTGAATAGGGCTCCCCGTTAAGCGGGAAGCCTGCTTCTCCCTCTCCCACACCCCCTGCTTCTGTTCCCTCTCTCGCTGTCTCTCTGCCAAATAAATAAATTCTTAAAAAAAAAAAAAGAATGTCTTTGCTTTTTAAGGCTGAATAATATTTCATTGTATAGATATGCAATGTTTTGTTTATCTATTCATCTATTGAGGGACACTTGGGTCCATGCTGTTTTTGCAACTTTCTAGGAGTCTATAATTATTTCAAGATAAAAACCTAAAAGAGCAAGAGGGAGAACTGAATTGTCCCTAACAGAGATAGAGATGACCTGAGCAGGGTGGGAAAGGAGGGTTCTGGCTGGGACATAGATAGCTAACTGTCCTTTAGGAGGATGGCAGCTCAATCCAGGCACTCAGGCCTAAACCTAAAGAAACACTGCAGCCCCTGGATCTCCCCCAACTCTGGATGCTGGTAGCTGACATTTCCACCTGGTATCTCCTGGTCACCTCCAACAATACACGACCAACACCAGCTCCTGAGTGTGCCCTCAGAGGCTCCCTTTCTCGACTTCAGCAACTCCATCCTTCAAGCTATTCAGGCCCCAAACCCTGGAGTCAACCCATCACCTCCCTTCCCCTCACATCCATGCCATCAACTCTTCCCTCAAACTGGACTGCAAATAATTACATTTGATAGGTAGGGACTGAGGCTTGTAACCAAGGGCACTCTATAGACAGCAACTGTCCCCCTTCCCGTGCTTCTTTCATACAGTGATCAGCGCTGAGGGAGACACCTCAGCCACAGTTACCTCTCTACACCCATCAAGCCCAACCTTCCTAGGAGGGTCTGCACTGCCAATATCAGACCACTGAAGGCCAGAGCCTGTCAATCTGACTTCAGTGAAGCCATTGGCAACCAGCCGCTGAGTTACACATAGCGTTTCCCGCACATTTTCAGTCAACAGTGAAGCTAAAACCCCTCTTATTACTTAGTTAATTTTAAGTAAGCTCTACACCCAACATGGAGCATGAACTCACAACCCTGAGATCAAGAGTCACATCCTCCACCGACTGAGCCGGTCAGGCGCCCCAACCCCTTGTTTTTAAATTAAACTTTTTGTGAGATCACTGTAGATTTATATCCAGTTATGAGAAATGATGGGGAAAGACTCCTCATGCCCTTTACCCAGTCTCCCCCAATGGTAACATCTTGCATAACTCGAGCACAATATCACAACCCAGATACCGACATTGATAAAGTCCACCGACCTTATTTGACTTTCCGGCTTGACCTACACTTGTTTGCGTGTGTGTATGAAGTTCTATACAGTCCCCTCGTGGTGGAGGCTGTGCATCCACCACACAGACAAGATATGGAAAATCTCCAACACGGGATCCCTTGTGCTGCCATGTGTAGCTACACTCGCCTCCCTCCCACCCTGCCCACCCTGCTCCAACACCCTGCAACCACTAACCTACCCACCATCTCTGTAATTTTCTCATTTCAATAACGTCATGCAAACGGAACTCTACAGTGTATCACCTTTTGGGACTGGCTTTTCCCACTCCACATAATGCCCTGGAAGTCCATCCAGATTGTTGCGTGTTTCACTAGTTTGTCTCTCTTTTATTGCTTGTGTTCCATGGTGTGTTCAGCCATTCACCCACTGAAGGATATCTGGGGTGTTCGCAGTTTGGGATGATTACAAACACGGCTGCCGGAAATGCCCACCCCTCACTTTTGTAGGGGCCTCTGTTGCCAGAGACATCATCACCCCCGGGGCTCAGAGTGGAAAGGATGAGAGAGTATATTATAAGACCCATCCCCCACCCACCCCAAGCCACACAAAAGCTTCCAAGAAGTAAAGGGGTTCAGGGATAGAATATGGGCTGTCTTTCTGCATTTTTACTATTCTCATGCAACCTGGGGAAGAGGGCCGTGGCCTTGACCGCTTTGCTGCAGGCATAGCTGTCCTTAGCGCCTTGCACGGGCCTGGCACGCACTCCACAGACATCTGTAGCATGGTGTACGGAAAAGGCGCATGCAGACAAGTACAGGTCTAGCCAGTGTCAAAGAAAACCAAGGTTGAACTCAGTTGCCAAGGCTGGGCCAAGAAGAAGCTGTGTCTATTGGGCTCACCTGACTGATTTTAGGGGTTCCACCCCCAAGGTCCTCTTCCCGCAGCTCTGCTTGTCTTGTCACTGTCTTCCTGGGTTTTGCAAACTGGGGGACAAACCTCCTGGCTGAGTTCTGTAAACCAGATACAACAAGAACAAAACAGCAATAAAGATAAGGGGAGGAATGAGGTTTCAGAAAACAAACGCTAAACCAGTTCCTTCCTTGCAGCCTCAAATGCAGCCCTTGCCCTCCGTCCCCAGCGCAGTCTCACCAGCCTGTCAGCCTGCTGGTGAGGAATGGAGACAAGAACTCCAGCTTCAGGGAAGCAGTGTCATTGGTTATACATGAGGCCCTAAAACAGGCTCACCTGGGAAAGAAGAGCAGGAACTGGCTCCTCTTCTGGTTGCCCGAGGCGCCTGGAGGGATCTCCTGCTTCCTCATCATGGGAGCTGGGTGGAGAAAGACAAAACAGAGGAGGTTCTGAAGTCCTAGGATGCTGTCAGTGTGTGTGGTGAGGCAAATAGATGAATCCAAAGGCAAAGTGTGCTCAGTCTCCTGTAAGAGAGGCCCTGAAGCACCTGCTTAGAGAGGGTGGGATGGAAAAGGGGAGCAGCACCTAGGGTGACACTTGGCTGCCAAGAAGGGTGCAGAGGCCCACATCTAGAATCCAAGCTGCCTGATCTGGCAGCAGTTTACTCTTATAATCCCAGGAACTGGCTCCTAAGATAAGAACAGGAATTCTCATTTGGAATGACACTCCAACCCCCAACTCTGTAAATTCTAGAGAAATGAAGCTGTAGATTAAAAAAAACAAAAACAAAAAACAGTGTCTAAAAAAGCAGGTGTGGGGCGCCTGGGTGGCTCAGTTGGTTAAGCGACTGCCTTCGGCTCAGGTCATGATCCCAGGGTCCTGGGATCGAGTCCCACATGGGGCTCCCGGCTCAGCAGGAAGCCTGCTTCTCCCTCTCCCACTCCCCCTGCTTGTGTTCCTGCTCTCGCTGTCTCTGTCTCTGTCAAATAAATAAATAAAATCTTTAAAAAAAATTAAAAAATTAAAAAAATTAAAAAGCAGGTGTATTCACAATTGCCAAAATGCAAAAGCAACTGAGGCAGCCTTCAGTGGGTAAATGGATAAACTGTGTGCATCCAGACAATGCAGTATTATTCAGTGCTAAAAGAAATGAGCTATCAAGCCACGAGAAGACGGAGAGGAAACTTAAATGCATATTCGTAAGTGAAAGAAGCCAGTCTGAAAAGGCTAAGTAGGTACTGTATGATTGCCACTCTTTGCCATTCTGGAAAAGGCAAACCTATGAAGATAATAAAAAGATCAGTGGTGCCAGGGTTGGGGAGGGGAGGGATGAACAGATGGAACACAGGATTTGAGGCATCAAAAGTATTCTGTATGAGATTATAATGGTGGATACATGTCATTCTGCATTTGCCCAAACCCACCGAACATACAACACAGAGTGAACTCTGAAGTAAATTGTGGATTGTGGGTGATTATCATATGTCAGTGCAAGTTCACCCTTGGTAACAAATGTACCGCTCTGGTGGGATGGTGATGGGGGTGTGTGTGCGGGGGGGGGGGGGGTGGCTATGAGAAATCTCCATACTTTCTCTCCAATATTATCGTAAGCCAGGCCTGGGTAGCTTAGTCTGTTAACTGTCTGCCTTTGGCTCAGGTCATGATCCTGGGATCCTGAGATCAAGGCCCGCATTGTGCTCCCTGCTCAGTGGGGAGTCTGCTTTTCCCTCTCCCTCTGCCCTTCCCCCTGTTCGTGCCTGCTTGCTCAATTCACGCGGTCTCTCTCTCTAATAAATAAATAAAATCTTAAAAAAATTATTGTAAACCTAAAACTGCTCTAAAAAAATTAGGTCTTTTTAAAAAGCATGTGAGACTTACGGTTTTATCTAAATAAATGTGGATATGTATATTAAGAAAACAGATCAAAACCTGGAACTAAAACTAAGGGGAGGAACAGGAAAGGGGAACAGGAAAAAGCATGAAGATACAGTAATAGGGTTTTTTTTTTTCCCCACAGTAATAGGTTTAAATTGTATTGGGGAGCTGATGGAGATAGAATAAATCTAGATACTGATAGCAAGACTCTGTCAGAAAAATTTTTTAAGATTTTTTATTTATTCATCTGAGAGAGAGAGAGCGTGAGCACAAGCAGGGGGAGAGGCAGAGGGAGAGAGATAGTGGGAGAGGGAGAAGCAGACCCCCTGCTGAGCTGAGAGCCTGATGAGGGGCTTAGTCCCAGGACCAGGAGATCATGACCCAAGCTGAAGGCAGATGCTTAACGACTGAGCTACCCAGGTGCCCCTATTTGAAAATTTTTATTCAGAATGGGTTGTTTGGGTGGCCTGTAGGGTACTAGTTAGGATTTCATTTCTCAACATAAATGTGTTTGTTTGCTTTATATTGTTCTTTTCTGTTATACTTCTATGCACACGGTATTTTTTTTTTTTTTTAAGATGTATTTATCTGAGAGAGTGAGCGAGCACATGTGTGGGGAAGGGGCAGAGGGAGAGAGAGAGAATCTTTAAGCAGACTTTGCGCTGAGTGCAGAGCCCAGTGTAGGGCTTGATCCCAGGACCCTGGGATCACGACCTGAGCTGAAACCAAGAGCCAAACGCTTAACCGACTGAGCCACTCAGGCACCCAGCACGTGGTATTTCTTAATAAAACATTTTAGGGCACCTGGGTGGCTCAGTTGGTTAGGTGACTGCCTTCGGCTCAGGTCATGATCCTGGAGTCCCTGGATCGAGTCCCGCATCGGGCTCCCTGCTCGGCAGGGAGTCTGCTTCTCCCTCTGACCCTCCCCCCTCTCATGTGCTCTCTCTCATTCTCTCTCTCAAATAAATAAATAAAATCTTAAAAAAAAAAAAATTTAAAAAACAAAACTAGAAAAAAGAGGGTGGGAACCCAGCAAGATGGGCAGTGCCTGGGACCCCACGAGCTCTGTTGGCCTCGCCAGGATGGGGGAGCACAGTAATATTGTGGCACCTGGGAGAATGGCTTAGGTGTGACATGTGGCCCCTCTTCATAGCACCACACACAGCAGTGCTACCTTTTGTCTTAAGACTGCAATGACCTGAGATCACACATCTTCCACCTCCAAAAACAGTTTTCTTGATCAGACCGTGTGCTGTAATTGTTTACTCAGAAAATCTGGTAGACCAATCCATGAGGCTTTCTCTGAGGACTTCTGGTAGCAGGAACCCTCCTCCTAACTCCTGCTAACCCTTTCTACTTTGCTCTAGTTATATGCGGTTTAACCCCATGAACAAACTATTCTCCAGATCTTCCTTTTTTCCCCACTGTGCTTAATTACATATTCCTGAGGGAAAAAAAGGGGGGGAGCTGGGAAACCATGGTGGTTAGGAGCACGGGAGCCAGACACAGCCAGATCCCCAGCTTGTGCTGCACCAGCTCAGTGGCCTTGGGCAAATACGTCATTTGATCTCTCAAAGTCTCAGAGTCCTTGCCTGTGAAATGGGGATAAAAACCTACCTCACAGTGCCATGAGGATTAAACAAACGGATAGGTGTAAAGTGTTTATCATTAGCCCACTGTCTGACACGTAATTGCTATCCCCTTCCATGGGTTATTATTTCGCAGACCTACAACTCCATCAGTCCTTTCTTGGTGAAGAAGGGATGCGGGATAAACATGGATTTGACCAGCAGACAGGACAGATGCATTCTATTATTAAGTGACCTTGACAAATCCAAGGTTTTCCTTGCTCGTGGTTAAAATATCAACCTTCATTGCTCGAGAGGAGAGTCTGGGGAAGAAGGCTTTGAGAAGCAACCGGAGGGCCGCTGAGCCCCCAGAGGGAGGTGTGGAGTTGGATGAGTCATGTTGTCCCCTCCCCTTTGCATCCTGTCTACTGGGCTGCTGGGCTGTGTCCCCTGTCGGTGGGGAGACTTGCTGGAATGTTCCAAGCCACCTACCTGGAGGCTGTCTGTACTGGTTCTTCTGTCCTCTGCTCTGCAGAGGGAATGGGTTCTAATCTGCCTTCTGACTCTTCAGGGAGACACAAAGAGCCCCGCTCAGAATTCTGGGGGGGGCCGTCAGAGTCTCCTAGCCTTGGGTTCTTTGGGGCCTTCAGAGGACGGACTCCTCCTCCTGATTTAGAGAGAAAGGAAGATGAAGGGATGGGAGATGCAGGGAGCATGCACGACCATGACTGACAACCAAACCTGGCAGGGCCACTGCTGCAACATGAGCAAGCTAATTCCAAGGGTAAGAAATCCCCTGCTCTGACTCTAGCCTAGAGAGAGAGATGGGATGGCACCTTGTCCAAGAGTTTAGGTGGCCATGGGATTCAAAGGCTTTTTACCCAAGGACTGGTTATGACTGAGACTGAATCCTGAGGTAACCTGGCCCAGCCAACTGTCTCTCTAGGAAGGTGTGTACTGGCTTCCATGAGTCTCAGCTCAAATGTTGCTGCAAAGGGCCATCCCTGACTTCTCTATACAGCAACCCCTTTCAGACTCATGCTCTGTTTTAATCACTTCACAGTTTTGTTTTTTGTTTTGTTTTGTTTTTGTTTGAGAGAGATGGGGGGGGGAAGGAAGAGAGAATCTTAAGCAGGCTCCACGCCCAGTGTAGAGCCTGACATGGGGCTCGATCTCAACCCTGAGATCATGACCTGAGCTGAAGTCAAGAGTTGGAAGCTTAACTGACGGAACCACCCAGGCGCCCCAACTTCAGTTTTTTTTTGTTTTTGTTGTTGTTTTGCCAGTATCTGACATACTGGTTATTTTCTGTCTCCCTCAATACAAGGAGGGGCCTATCTCTGCTGAGTTTCAAGTGCCTAGCAGATCATCTAGTACATTGTTGGTGCTCAACAAATACTTGGTAGATGACTGAATAAACACATTTGTAAAACAGAGATCACCACCAGGAAACATAGACAGGACTAAATTATGTGCAACTCTAGTTTTCCGTGATGCCTGCAGATTATCTGTCCTGGGAAAACTGGGACCTAGGGTCGAGTGCTAGGGAAGTGATGTCCCAGCTGCCCCTTGGTCCCTTGTATTTCTGCGGTATGTTCCCCATCACCGAAAAAAAAACTTAGGAGCCTAACACCTATTTGCTGAGTGAAGGAAACTTCCTTACACAGAAACTGCCAATAGTGGCTGACTTCTAAGGTCTCCCCAAACCTGGCCCCAACCTAATTATCAAAAAACAAATGATAAGGGTTGAATCTAGTGAGTTCCATGACAGACGTTGTCCTGAGAAGTTGGGTGTGTTATGATAAACTTCAAGGTGGGGTTCCCACTGTTACACCCATTTTATGGGTAAGAAAGCTGAGGCATATGGAGACCAAGGGATCTGGAATGGGATCCAGTCAGTCCAACTCCACAGAGCCTGCATACCTAAGTGTATTTGAGCATTTACTGAGCACCTACTATGTGCTGTGCCTCTGACCCCACAGAGAGAACAAAAAGGCAAACCAGACCCTGGCCTGATCTTTCTGGAGGTCAGTCAGGTAGACCCTTTCCAACCTCAGCTCCTACACACCTTGAAGTAAACCCGTTGAACAAGCTCCCTCTCCCTAATACTGATCACCAGGGTTCTTATTAGCATTCACTCGGCTGTTTGTGCTCCAGTAGACCACCATGACATTTCTGTAATTTCTGAATTCTGTAAGTTATGGTGTGCCCATTTAGAACTTTACCGTACTGCTATGTATTTGATTAGCACTCTCAGTGAGAAGCATTTTTCTTTCTCTCCTGACTAGACCCTGAGGGTTATGAGGGCAGGAATTGAATCTGTTGCACCCTTTGATCTCCTCCTTGCCCTGCCTTTCACCCCACCCTGCTTAGGTGTTCACCCCAGTGCTGCACTCAGAGCAAGGCTCCAATGAATGCTTCTTACACAAGCATATTCCCATCTTGTGATCTGCCAAAAAAAAAAAAAAAAAAGGTGAAATCAAGCAGCTTTGTTTATTTGGTTTCTTAAGATGCCCAAACACTAGCTCGCTTTGCTCATCCAATAGACATGTGCACCAAATAAAAACCAAAATATCAACAGAAGTGAAAAGCCTCCCATTTCCTTCCTGTGATCTGTCCCCAGAGGACTAATTTAAGAAAAACTAAAGGCAGAACCTTATGTTCAACACCAAAGGCCAAAGACGTTGGGAGGGAAGGGCTTCTTTCACCACCTGCCAGAATCGTCTTCCTCTGTCCCCACCCCCTCTAGGACACACAAACAGCTGTCCTGGGCCAGCCTGGGATCCACTGAGCTAGGGAGCCCACTGCCAAGAGAGGCCCCAAATGACCTGCTGTGGGTGGGCCTGGCTGTCCCCAGCTTCCCCCACCCAGGTCAGTGAAATTCCTGTGTTTCCGAGCAGCCTGTTGCTCATCTTACACAAAACATTTTCAATCCATTGCTAATTTTTCTATCCCACATTGTGGGGAAAAAAAAATGAGTGCTACTCCCTATGCTCATTATCCAGTAAGTAGTCATTTCTAAACTTTTAAGAAGTTTAAATTATCTTCGACAATAACAGGGAAATGGAGCTATGTAATATTGCGTGTTTTTCTTTGTGCATGAGGAAATTATAAATATATATATATTGACAAGTAAAGACGCTCATGATAAAGTAAAAAATGGGGATTGCAGATCAGCATGTGTGATGATTCTATTTTCCAGTAAAAAACACTGTATTTGTGTATATATAGAAAAAGTTTGGAAGTAGTGTACTGAGGTTCATTCCCTGGCTTTTTATGCTGTCCTGTGATTGATCATTGTCCCATGGTTGTGCTGGACATTAACCTTAGGGGAAGCTGGAGGTAGGGTAGAAAGAACTCTGAACTATTTTTGCAAGTTTTCTGTAAGCCCCAAATTATTTCAGAATGAAAAGGTTTTTGTGTTTTTTTGTGTTTTTTTTTTTTTAAGTCTGGAAGGAGAATCCTAATACCAGCATACACTTGTGTACTACCTAGGGTCTATCCTTCATGCTTTACAAATATTAATCCTCGTATGAACTCTAGGGCAGAGTTCTCCACCTTGGTACTCCTGACATTTGGGGCCAGATCATTCTGTATTGTGGGCAGTCTTGTGCACTGTAGGATTTAGCACATCCCTGGCCTCAACCCACTAAATGCCAGTAACCAGCACCACCCCCAACAAACACACATCAGTTGTAGAAACCAAAAATGTCTCTAGACATGTCCAGTGTCCTGAGGGGCAAAAATCCTCCCCCAACCAGGTTGAGAATCACTGTTTGAATGGAAAGGGTAGGTGCTTTTATTATCCTCTATTTATAGTACTCTGTAAGTCATCTACAATCACACAGGGAGCCTGAGAGCTGGGATGAATCCAGGGTTTCGGTTCCAGAGTGGAACACTTAGCCACACACCCAATGACCTTGTAGCTCTATTCAAAGGTCATCTCTGAGAGTGCACCCCTGGCCTAACCGTGGGATCCCACCAGAGATTGGAGGAAGCTCCAGAAAGCTTTCACTTTTTACTGTATGCACTTTCCACAACTTACACTTTTCTTACTAGCATGTATTAAATCACTTTTTTTTTTTTCAAGGAGCTTGATGTGATCATGTTAGCATTTCTGCAACAAATAAGCCTACATTCCTCTTATACCAGAAGCAGCAATAAAGCAGTGTCAACTTGAATGTCCAAATACCTGAAGTCCGAAGCTTTTTCCTCTTACTCATTTTATCCCTCTTGAAAAATCTGAAAACAACGAGCAAAATCCCATCATTACAAGTAGCCCCCGTCCCTGGGGACAGACCCAGTGACCCTGGCTGAGGGCAGAAGCCACCCTCACCCCACCTCAGTCCATCTGGCTGCCCCCGAGGGCCAAGCTGGACGGAGTCACAGCCACCTTGGGCCATGACCGGGTAAGAAAACCTCCTCCACGTTGCAGAGAGCGGAGGGAACGACCCATCTGCCCATCCAGGGAAGCCCTGACGACCCCAGCTCTAGTCCCTAAATTGAGACAGGCTGTGTGAAGCCCCCTCCCCCCCGGCTGTGGTCTGAGACCCTTCCAGGGACACCTGAGGATTCTGGAAGGAGCCACCTGGGGCCCTTCGAAGGGCAGGAAGTCCTGTGGGGGATGCCTGGGGCCCTGGAAGCAGGAGTCGCCACAGACCAGCTCCTGCCAGCCCTGGGGGCCAAACAAGCCCAAACCGACCTGGGCCACTGAAGTTGCCAAGGTCCCTGTGTCCTTATCAGGAACTGAGTAGGTCTGCCTGGATCTGTTGGGGAACAATTCGGTTAATTATTTGCGTTAGGATTTTTTTGGAAAATAAAAGGCAAAGTTGGCCCTCACGGAGGCGGGGCGGCTGGCAGTCTGTAGCTGAAGGGCGGGTAGGTCCCGAAGCCCGAGCGCTGTGGACCCGACTTCCGGTGACCAGACCCACACTAACCCCACCCCGGCCCCCGAAAAGTGTGGGATGCCCAGACCAGGGCCGCCAGGAGAAGCCAGAGCCTGCAGGTAAACACGGGACGCCGAAAGCCCGGCGGCCGCCACCGCCCCTCACACCTGCGCGCGCGCTCCGCCTCTTTCCCGCGCAACCCGCCGCACCGTCGCGCGCATGCGCGACGCTAGCACCGCCCTCACACCCACGCACGCCCCGCCTCTTTCCCCGCGCAGCCCGCGGCCCCGCCCACCGCCCCGCAGTACGCACGCGTGCCGCGCATTGCCTGCCGGGAGTTGTAGTTTCAGTGCGGCGGGCCCAGCAAGTCCAGTGGCTGCGCTCCGGTGCCGCGGCGCCCCAGGGCCGAGGCGGAAGTGAGACGGCCACTCCGGGGGTCGAGGGCGCGGGGTCAGCGGTCGCAGGGCACCAGCGAGGGGCGCGGGGCTCAGGAAGTGCGCGTGCGCGGCGATAGGCCCCGGGGGAGGAGGCAGGGCAAGGCCAGGCGAGGTGGCCAGTGGCCCGGGCATCCAGCCTGGAAGATGCACAAGAGGAAGGGACCCCCGGGACCCCCAGGCCGAGGTGCCGCCGCCGCCCGCCAGGTGAGTCTGTACCCCACGGCCTTGCCTAGGGAACCCTACTCACCCCTATCACAGGTTCAGGGGAGGGCCCCACCCCCCCAAGGGGAACCCGATCACCACCCCCAAGTGAGCCCCTGTCCCCGCCCTCCAGATGAGGTTCTGCCCCCAAAGTGCGGCCTGCTGGCCCCTGCTCCCCAGCTCCTCAGCTCTTGGCGCCCCGCCCTGGGCTCAGGGCCACCTGTTGCCGCAGCCTCTCCAGTTTGGGAGGGGAAGGCCTCGGACCTGGGATAAGGATAGTTACTGCACTCCTGGCCTGAACACGCACGGAACCTCGCGTCTGCCAGGCCAAGTCAGACTCTTTTTATCCCCACTGTACAGATGAGGACACTGAGGCCCAGAGAGGTGAAGACAGCTTCCCAAGGTCATAGGGATTAACGGCTTGGCCAGAGTGAAGTGCAAATCCAGAGCTGCTGCCATGAGCCCATGGGACTGTGTCTGGACCTCCTTTCCTTCTCCATCTCCTCTGCCCCAGGCACCTGGAGAGTTGATTTTCTCAGCTTTGATGGAAGAAGCCCAGGCCATAGCTTAGTGCCGGGGTATTAGAGTCTGGCCAGCCTGGAGTTCCCTGCTGGTCTCTGTACGTTGGACACTCGGCTTCTCAGCTCTTACGCCTCAGATTCCTCATCTGTAAAATGGAGGCCCTAACAGTTCCTGTGTCACAGGACAGTTGTGAAAATTCATTGAGATAGTTTATGGAAAGTGCTAGAACATAGCCCTCAATAAGTGTAACTTCATTATTACTATTAAAAGGAGCCATACATAATTGCCCATTTTGACCCACAGAAAAGGCAATTTTGTACAGTTCAACATAATATTATCACATCATGATTGGTCATGAATTAGGAGGGGATAGGAAGACAGGTCTGTTACACAATGAAAACCCCGCTTTCAACTTCTGTGTTGTTTTCCGGGCTTCTGTTTGCTCTTGCAACCTTCCTGTCTGGCCCCCTCTCCTGAGTATGCTGGAAGGAAAAGCCCAGGTGTGCAGAGTGACTTTGCTTTGGGCAAGGTGTAGGGCCTGCTTTTCCCACTGAACTTGGTCAGCAGCACATCATGGGCGTGGGCTCAGAGCAGGGAGCAGGGTCTCTGCCTGCCCTTCGCCCCGTGTTGATCTGTGCCAGAGGGCCTGGCCCATCTTGGGACACCTGTTGCATTCTGAGCCCATTCCAGCCTCCTGGCACTCCCCAGGGAAAATGACTTTCCCCAGGAGGTCTGGGTTTCCTTCCTCCTGAGGGAACTCTGGGTCCATCCTGGCTGCCTTCTGGCCAGGTGGGGTGCATTCCGAGGTCTGACTGGACCCTTGCTCTTCCCTCAGCTGGGCCTGCTGGTTGACCTCTCCCCAGACGGCCTGATGATCCCTGAAGATGGAGTTAACGATGAGGAACTGGAGGCTGAGTTCTTGGCCTTGGTTGGGGGCCAGCCCCAAGTCCTGGAGAAGCTCAAAGGCAAAGGTGAGACTCTCAACACACCCCTGAACATTTTCTGAGCTCCTGCTGTGGGCAGGGCTCAGCGCTGGGTCCTGGGGAGAAGGAGGAGAGGAGACAGAGAAGGTCTTTGCCCTCCTGGAACCCACAGCCTGGGTAAAAGGTTAAGTGATCAACTCTGGACCCAGGGTGAGGGTTCGAATCCCAACTCTGCCACTTACTGGCTGTGTGACTTGATGAGTCCCAGCATCTCTGTGGGCCTCAGTTTCCCCATCTGTAAAATGGGAATAATGACTGCACTTAATCACAGGAGTTACTCTTCTACTGTTCATAAAGCACTTCACACAGGGTCTAGCATTTCCTCCAGTTTGCAGTCCCCGTGATGAGGGCTGGGATGAGGGAAGCACAGAGCGATGGGAGAGACCTGTGAGCTGGGGCCAGATGCCCGCAAGAGGCACCCACAGTAAGGAGGGCCAGGTGAAGAGCTGGGAAGCACTTTTGGGAGAGGCCCCAGCACCTGCAAAAGCCCCCTAGGGGAGGTGGCAGGGGGCAGCAACTCTGTAGTGGGCAGTGAGGCTGGAGCTCTGAGGGCAAACGGAACCTTTATACTTTTCTGCTGATTCAGTCAACCCTCATTATTGATGAATTCCATATTTGTGAATTCCCCTACGGGCTAAGCTTTATTTGGAACACCCAAATCAATACTTGGGGAGCTTTTGCAATTATTGGCAGGCATGCACAGAGCTGCCGGAAGTTGGAGTCGCTCTTGTCCCGGGGCATGCTGTAAACAAGTGTCCTTTCCCCAGTCTGTGTAAGGCTGCATTTTCTCTCATTTTGGTGCTTTTTGTTGGTGATTTTACCTTCAAAACGGCCCCCAGGTGTAGGGCTTAGTGCTGTCTCGTGTCTCTAAGAGCAAGAAGGCTGTGATGTGTCTTATGGAGAAGAGACATAACAGATGAGCTTCATTCAGACGTGAGTTACAGTGCTGCTCTTGGCCTTGAGTTCGGGGTTCACAAATCAACAATATATACTTAAAAAGGTGTCATTAGATAGAAACACACATTAAGCAAGGTTATGTATTGACTGGTTGACAAAAATGTTGTGCCCAGAGGCTCATGGGACCCGAACCTTGTATTTCCTCCAGGGGCCGTGGTCCAGTGTTCCCTAAGTCAGCATTTAAGGCAGTTTTATAGAACAGAACTAACGCACATAATGAGGATTAACTCAAATAACAAACTGCTGACCACATGCTGTTCTGGAGCTTCATTTATCTTTAGTTCCCACAACGGACCTGTGAGAGAGAAACTTGTCCTCGTCCGATAGATGGGAAGACTGAGTCCCAGAGAGGGCAAGTGACTTGCCCAGGGCTCCAAAGTGAGAAAGCTGCGAAGCCAGGGTGCCGAATCGGGCTTGATAAGGGAGAGACGAGGCGGGCGAGATCTGCGGGGATCGGGATCATACCTGGTGGGCCTGAGGGCCGTGGGGTGCCATGGAAGGGCCGGGAGGGGGCCATGCTGCCCTAGTCCTTGGGGTCATGGGTAACCGGGATGGGAGGCTGGGGACTCTTGAAGGATCCCAGTCCAGCTGGGGCCTCTACCTGCCACCAGGCCCCCTGCCCATGGAGGCTATTGACAAGATGGCCAGCCTGTGCATGAGAGACCCGGATGAGGGTGAGGATGAGGGTACGGACGAGGAGGATGTGGAGGCTGATGATGACCTGCTGGTGAGCACCCGGGGCAAGGCAGGGGGCCTCCCGCGCTGTCATTGCGCCATCCAGCGGGCCCTCATGCTCGGCCCCCGGCCGTGTGCCCCTGCAGGCAGAGCTGAACGAGGTCCTTGGGGAGGCACAGAAGACTGTGGAGTCCCACCCTCCTGTGGCTCAGGTATAGCCCAGCAACCCGCTCCACATAGCCCAGAGTTGGAGGCCTTCCCTGGCCCCTCGGCCATGTTACCTTGGGCAGGTGACATGACACCTCTGAGACCGGAGGGGGATGATGATTTCCTCCTGGCCGGGGGGTGGGGTGGGACAGCTGGCCCAGGGGCAACATGCCTGGTGTGTGGGAGGCACTTGGCAAGGGAGCTCTTGGGGAGAACTCAGGTGGGGTCCCACCCAGACCATGCCCCGGTCCCTCCTGCAGCCGAAGGCCACAGCCCCCAGCCCAGGGGTGGAGGCCACCTTGCAGGAGAGGCTGGCCCTCTACCAGACAGCGATCGAAAGCGCTAGGCAAGCTGGAGATGGTGCCAAGATGCGGCGCTACGACCGGGGGCTTAAGGTGAGCGGGCAGGTGATGGGAGGGTGCTGGGACCCTACCACAGCCCACTGCACCCAGCTCCAGGCTCCTCTAAAACCCACTTTCACACCTTCTCTCAGACACTCGAAAACCTGCTGGCCTCCGTCCAGAAGGGTAACGCCATCAATGAAGGGGACATCCCGCCACCTGTGGCAGTGGGGAAGGGCCCGGCAACCACGCCCAGCCACTCTCCGGCGCCCGCGCCGCTGGCCTCTGCAAACCAGCCAGTCCCAGAGCCCAGGATCACGGTAGAAGGCCCTCCTTCCACGACTCCAGCCACATCCATAGGTTTGGCTAAGCCCCAGCTTCCTCCAGGTAGGCCAAGGGCAAGGCTGGACTGACATGGGATTTGCGGGGGTGGTATTCAGCAGTTGGCCATTTTGTGGGGGTGCTGACTCATTCATTCATTAGATATTCATTCATTCATTCCTTCCTTCATTCATTCATTCATTGAGCGTGAGCAAACGGTGGGGAGGGGCAGAGGGAGAGAGAGAATCCCAACTCTGCACTGAGCACAGAGCCCAAGGCAGAGCTCCATCCCACAGCCCGGAGATCATGACCTGAGCTGAAATCAGGAACCGAACGCTTAACCAACCAACTGAGCCACCCAGGCTCCCCAGTTGTTAGATATTCTTAACACCCCTCCTCTTCCTAGGTCCTCATGCCTCTGGAGTTCATGGATACCTTTTGTGTGTGTGTGGTGGTATAATATATATAACATAACATTGGCCATTGTAACCATTTTTTAGTGTGCAATTAACTGAGTGGTGTGTAGCACATTCACACAGTGTGGTACAACCACCACCCCTATCTTTTTCCAAAGAT